CAAATGACAGTTTTTGTTATAAGCTACTGAAATCCTTGCTCCTGATTGGTTATCAGCAGATTTGTCACTGATTTTTGTCATTTGTCATTGAAAAAAGGCTTTGTGAAACCATAAACCTACTACAAAGTGTATGGTGAAACGGGCCCCTGGTTGGTATGGGACTAAGAGATGGTGATGATGATGATGATGTTGGTTCTTGGAGTCAGTGATGGTAATGTTGGTAGTAGTGATGATGGAGATGGTAATTCCATTCAATTCGATTCAATTCAACGTGGCTTATTAAAAATACAAAGTAATAGTCCAGGGACTAATTGAACAATGAATGCAATGTAAAAATGGTCATAAAGTAGGATTATCGATAAAATAAAAACAAAATGATAAAAAAGTTAAAGGACATAATCATTATTCATTATATATCAAAATTAAGCTTTGGAAACAAAACGTTGATCATTATGCAAACTTAAAGTAAAGATCACTCGAATATTTGGCTGAATATTACTTGATTTACCATTATAATGCAGTATAAAAGATGATTAATTTAAAATCAATAATTGCAAGATAAGTATGTGTGAATCAAAGTGCAATGTTGGATTTAAAATAATTTAGATAGTTGTGAACTTATGTTGGAGGATAAGTTGAAAGTAACGATAGGAGAGCTAGAGAAAGGCATTGGGAGCAGGGTTCGGTACCGGCATTGGATGGTAACTAGAGATAAAATGATAATGGTAGTGGTGGTGGTGGCGGTTGTGGTATCTGTTATTTTGTGCGATGAATGTGTTTTTGATGTGGTGATGCCAAAATTGAATGGTTGACTTGAAAACAAATTGTCGTACATGACTTGGTACTTGGTAGCAATATCGGTCAGAATATTTCCAAAAAATTGATGTGAAAGAAGGAAAAGTCTACGAAAAGAAAATCAAGGAATATATACATTTTTGATGAGCAATTATAAGCACCATTATTATTATCGTCATCATCTTCCTCCTCGTCATCAATTCATCATCTTCATCATCATCATCTTTTTTCAATATCATCATCACAATCGTCATCATCAGTAGGCCTATCATTCTAATAGATGCCGCACTTTAAAGCCCCACTGTCCTATTTGAAGCTACTTACTCCCTCTATAAAGAAAACTTCCCCAATCCTGTTGGTCCCCCATGATCCTCTTTTTCTTATGTTAGTTGAGAGCTGAGTTAATGAGATAGCCACCTGTCAGTGACCTCGCTGTGTGGTCTAATCCTTCTGGACCAGTAGTATTGACGGTCTTTAACCACTCTGCGAGGTCGTCGGCCCTGGGGTGCATTAACTGCATTTAGATCAGTTGCCCCCTCCCCGTTGTCATTGATTACACTATGTTATGAACTGATTGAACTCACCTCACCACAGTCCATGGCCATGTCCAGTTTCCTCATACTCCTGTAGGCCGTAGCCATGTTCAAATAGGCCTGTGTCTTCAGCCTGGGAGGCCAGTCCTGCCCCCTGCATCTAATGAGCTCCCTGGCCCTCACATAGAACTTCAAAGCCCTGTCGTAATCCTTGAGACATTTGTATACATTCCCTAAACACCCATAAGCCTCACACTCCAGCATCTGATCTTCGGCTTCGATGGCCATCTTCACGGCTTTCTCCAAGTTTTCCAAGGAGTCTTTGAAACTGCTGAATCCCAGGTTGGACGCAGCAAGCGCCAGGTAGACATATCCCAACTTGGACGATCCTACACCCGAGCTCATGGCGGTGGCCAGGCTGTGTCTGGCGTACGACAGCGACTTGTGGTACTCGCATAATCTTTCATTCGAAATCGCCAAGTTTAGATAGGACTCCGATTTGAGTTCGTCGCTCTCCAGATCGGAAGCGATGTCCATCTGTTGGACGGCATAGTGCATCTTCTCCCGAGCGAAGCCCCATTCTCCGTACACCTGTGCCAGGTGCCCGAGCACCTCAAACCGCAACCGCTGTTCTTTCACCTTCGATAAAACCCTCTTCCACTCGTGAACAGCCTGCTCCGTTTTCCTGGCATGGTACAATTTCAAGCCCTTGTCCACTTTCTGGCGTGTCTGTCGCTGGCCCATGGTGCCCCGACTCCAGCAATACCACCTCCAACCAACTCCACCTCACACAGCTCACAATTCTTACGAAAAGCTACATAAATCCTTTATATCCTCACACCGTCTTGAGAAGTTGCGCAACTCGCGTTGTGGTTTACCCGCAGAATAGAGTGAGTGAGCCACGCAGAACCCAAGCATGTATGATTTCTACCACCGACGACTTCCCTCTCGCTGGCTCTTTCACGCCTTCACCCCAGCCTGCGAAATGTCAACACTGAACCCAACTGAGAAAGAGGACGAGACAGAACCATATCAGCATTGGGACTGCGTGCATTCAGTGTATGGTCTGTGGAGCACACGTGTGCAGCGCTGTACAATACGAGCTGCGCTAGTTTGTGTTTACATACTTTGTGATCAATGAAACAGCCCGGGTATATTATTATGCGCGCGCTAGATGGGGTCTGCTCAGTTGTGAGATATATGATTGGTGTTTATACTAGCCTTTCCTCATGCCGCTGCCAGAACCAAAAATAATTCCATGATATTTAGCAAATTGAAAAGGTCTTAGTTTCGCTTTTGTATAACAGTGGCTATGTGTCCCCAGTGATATCTATCCTTTCATAAATAAGAGGTAAATGATATCCACAATTCTGTGTTTGTTTTGCTTGTTTCCAGTTTTACAAATCTGAGATGCATGGCCCTACGTGTTATCAATGTCCTAAAAGAATTGAGCTTCAAAACGATGAAGTGCTTCAAAAAAAGTAAAATCCTTAGAGTGATCGGTTTTACCATATACTCATTTCCCCTCATAGACTGTAGTTTTATAAACAAACAAAAAACGTTGGGGAAAAGGTTTTTTAAGTTCGAATTCCAATCATGTAAAAATGAGACAGGCGATCGGCTTGTAAAAGTCATGGGATTCCTGACTGACCTACACATACTTGTGATTGCAGCATGATCTAAATCCAATATTTTGTTTACAATCTAAGCCAAAGTTACCCAATCCCTTTAAAACTTTGCACTTGAAAATGTGATGGCTTTTTTTAGGGGGGGGGGAGGGGCTTTCTAATATTTCTTCGAACTTGTGTCCGCCTATCCTCCACTACCATAGGTGTCGTGTGCGCCATTTGCCTTCAGGACTATTTGACATTCATTATCATCGTCATTAATATACATTTTCAAGATAGTGAGCAGGGGAACAAAAAGCATAATTTCATCAATCATTTCATGAAAAGGAGTAAGAAAATATTATTCCAACTTAATGGGCAACAGTATATTTACAATGAACCTTAAAATCAAGATGCTTTTTGAAGGAAAAAGACTCAGTCAATGAGTGAGAAGAAGACCCTTTCAAATGCGTCACAACAAAATGTGTCTTTACCTAATTGTGTGATCTGGCTTTAGGGCTGGTATTCGGGACAAAAAGAAGCTTGAAAAACTCGAACAATATTGTGATAAAAGCCTATTTAAGGTAATCGTCTTTTCACCAATCCGTGCCCCATTCCATCCATTATCACGTGTGACTTTATTGGTATTCACTCCCTAAATGCTGGAATCTCCTGCCTATTATTGTCCTTTTTTTTATTTGTCGACATGATGTATGTAAAAGCAAGCTTTATATAGAGATTAAACTCGCTTTGATGAAATATCACAGGCGATTTGAATCGCTGGAAGAAGATTACACAAGTGTTTAGCGTTATAGAGATTTAACTCACTTGTTAGGTATAATTTACGAAAAACTGATACCGATTAAACTCACTACTACCATGGACCTACTACTAAATAATTATTTAAGCTTACGAATACTTTAAAGAGATTAATCTCGCTGTAAAGAAACATTTACCGTTGTAATGTCTGTTCTGTATTATATTCATGGTGGCAAGGGTTTAAATCCTATATTGCTACCCCCCCCCCCCCCCCTGTTCTGATTAATCTCCGATGATCGATGTATCAAGTTATATTTATTTATAATTAATTCTAATCATCTGTATGCTGTATCTCATCCATCAGTGGGTAACATTTGCTAATATTAATACGGTTATCCATCACCAGTGTATTATTAAGCAAGAAACAGCGCGATGACCAGGGTTTTCTTGCTAAGAGGGGGGGGGGGGGGGGAGGGGGGGGGGTATGGGTCCTTTGCTTGTATTTGTTGCAGTACACGTAGCCTGCCTAAAATTGCCATGCAGTGTCGGGTGAGGACAGGCGATCGCTTGGAGAAAACAAAATTACCATGTCAGATTGAAAATTCCAAGTTCCCTACCCCTCCCCTCCATTCCACACCCCTTCTCCTCCTCCTCCTCCTCCTCCTCCACCTTTCTTCCTGCTCCATATCCCTCTCCCGCTCCCCCTCTCCTCCTCCCCCTTCGTCATGGAGAAAGAGACTGAGAGAGGGTACTCGGAGAGAGAAAGAGAGAGACACAACGATAGAAAGGGTGAGGAGACAGACAGCTAAAATTACTTTTAAAAGGAGAAAGAGACAGAGAGAGTGAGAAGGAGAGAGAGATAGACATGAGGCAGACAAACAGAGAGATAGAAACGGGATAAGGTGAGAGACAGACAGACAGTTACTGGAGAGAGAGAGAAAGAGAGAGATAGGCAGAGATACATGCAGGACAAGATGAAGGGATGGGAAAGGGGAAGCGGGGAAAGGAGAAATAGACATGAGGCAAACAAACATAAAAGGTGAAAGACAGACAGTCAGACAGTCACGTACTGGAGAGAGAGAGAGAGAGAGAGGGGGGGGGGGGGAGGAGAGAGGGGAACAACAGAGGGGGAGGACAGAGAGAGAGAGAAAGGCACATAATGATACAGGGATGAGAAGCGGGAAGAGGGGACAGAAAGAGAGAGGGTGCGGATTTTGCATGCACTTGACGTCCTCTTGTCCGTGTCTCAATCACGAGTTCGACAAGATTATGCGAGATCACGGACGGACGACGATTACTCATACCCTCACGAGACACGGAGACCAAATACGACGATGAGACAGTCATGAAGATCAATCAATCTCGATCTTCAAAATTAATCGATTATTTGTATTACAGGTAGTGAGGCTTTTGAAGGGTGTGGGGTGGGGGATTTAGGGTAGTATGCAATTCTAACGCAACAACCTATCCAGGGCAGCTTCTCATAAGCCCGGAAAATGTTGTGCTAACAACGCACAGCATATCTTATGACCTTCTTTTTCCTCTATTACTTTTCCTTTTATCTGCCCCCCTCCCCCCTGGATGTGCAACTGCAGACGGCAGGGCTGACATCATAAGGTTTATAAAAGAGCCCCTCCCCCCTCCCAACCACAACCCCCCCTCCCCGATTTATGTTACATTAGCATGTATCAACCGGTTGAAAGGACGTCATCTTTGTCCTTTTATCCCCCCCCCCCCCCTCCCTGGATGTGCACCTGCCGACGGCAGGGCTAACATTATACAGTTAGTAAAAGAGCTCCCCTCCCCTCCGAATAATGATACATTTACATGTTTGTATCAACCGGTTGAAAGGACGCCATCTCACTGATCTGTATGCACACTTTCACGCACTTGTCAATAGAGGGCGAACCGATCTCTCCCCAAAGTGCACAGTTGAGCTCAATTTGTTGAGCGGTCGCTTTCATACATAGAATTCCGAACGTCAGCATGGGATGATAATTTCCATACTTTTAATGGTGCCATAGATCATCAAGGGGTTGATTTGGTAACATATGAAATGAAGCATGTACGGCTCTAGTCTTCTAACATATATATCGTTTCCTTCTCCCCCTCACACGCGCTATGCCCGCTCTCTTTCTCACTTGGATTTATTTTACTTATCATTTCATTCCCACGTAATTTCTCCATTTCATGTTCAACTAAGTCATTTCTAAAGGAACTAACACCGTACGAAACACATCAGGTCACTTCACTTTATTTTAACGCCCCACTGTACTACTTGTATCTACATGCTCCCTCTATATAGAAAACAGTGCCCAATCGGTGACCATTGGTCCCCCATGATCCTCTTTTTCTTATGTTAATTGAGAACTGAGTTGATGAGATAGCCACCTGTCAGTAACCACCCTGGGTGGTCTAATCCCTCCTAGCCAAACAAGTACAGACGGCCTTTAACGTAGAATTCTACGAACGGGACTCAACCGTACTCACAAACTATTACAAGTTCGTTACGTTGGTAAAGAGTGTTGAAGAAAGGATTCTACCAGCTTTCCTTAAAGATCACGAACAGACATAACTTTTATCATCTTCTTTCTCTTTCCGTTTTGTTTAGTTTCCTTCTGGCCATTTTCCCCCAATCAAACGTTTACCATACATCTCTAGACAGGTTGTGGGTTTCTTTCAGTCTATTGGCTGTGCGACTCTTAATCAACAAACACGTTTCAAATTTATTTTCAAGTTTATTTATCTATTTTCACACATCTCAAACAATTCTTAACACAATAAGGGCAGAACATCATACAATTGAAAATACAAGTATAAATGTTACATATTACAATATCTTAATAACTATTACACATATCTTAAGAACTATTGCACATACCTTAAAAACTATAACGCATATCTTAAGTAAGAACTATTACACATATCTTAATAACTATTGCACATACCTTAAGAACTATTAAACATATCTTAAGAACTATTACACATATCTTAAGAACTATTACACATATCTTAAGAACTATTACACATATCTTAATAACTATTACACATATCTTAATAACTATTAAACATATCTTAAGAACTATTGCACATATCTTAAGAACTATTACACATATCTTAAGAACTGTTACACATATCTTAATAACTATTACACATATCTTAATAACTATTGCACATATCTTAATTACCATAACACATATCTTAAGAACTATTGCACATATCTTAAGAACTATTACACATATCTTAAGAACTATTGCACATATCTTAAGAACTATTACACATATCTTAATAACTATTGCACATATCTTAAGAACTATTACACATATCTTAAGAACTATGACACATATCTTAATAACTATTACACATATCTTAAGAACTATTACACATATCTTAATAACTATTACACATATCTATAACTATTGCACAATATAGCCTGTATCATAAAATAATGAAAAAACAAATCTCCTATGTTTCAAGCTGAAGAGGGAGTGCAGGGGGACCCATAAGAGAAGCGAAGCTTGTAATACTATAGGTCCCTTGAAATAACTTACTTAAAAATATACAAGAAAGTGTGACGAAAGAATGAGGAAGGGAGCGAGATGAGGATAATGTGCAGTTCGAAAAACGAGGGGTCCAACTGAGATTATAGTTGGAAAAGAGATAGATAGGGAGAAAGAAATTAGAGCAGATACTTATAAGAGAGAAGGAAAGTAAAGAAGAAAAAGAGAGAGAATCACAAAGTCTTACATGAATTTTTAATTTTTGGAAAAACTAGGACTAAATATTTGTGGTAAAACTTTTGTATCCAGTTGAAACATAAATTGACCAAGTTGAAGTAAATATATATCAAAAACCCTTCAAAATATTATTTTTATAAAATAATTTGTAAGTATGTGCAAAGATTCCAGCGTTGTTTTTAATTCGAAGTGCCTTTTTTGCAATAAAAGAATTCTATAAATTTGTGTTTTTGAGGAACTTCCCCATTCAATGATTCCGTATTTTACATAAGGGAGTACGAGTGTAGAGTAAAGCATTTTCAGAGTGTTCGATGGAAAAAAAATATTTGACTTTATTGATTATTCCAATATTTCTAGAAATAAATTTTCTCAAATTGTCAATATGAATCGTCCAAGAAAGTGTATGGTAAATAATGAGGCCTAGGAATCGTGTAGAATACAATACACTTCCAATATTCTTGCATTATCAAAGATTTTGTAACCAGGAAAGGAGGGTAAAATATTACTGAAAAACGTTTTTTTTTCAAATTGGAAATTCAATGAAAGCTTATTTGCTTGAATCCAGTGTGTCACTTTGTTTTCAATTGATCAATGTAACGTTATTATCAACTCAGTATCGTCTTATTACTTAGGAAAATGTTTGAGTCATCCGCAAACATGATGAAGATCATCTGAAGATCGATGGAAATCATTGATAAAGACTGTGAACAATAGGAGCCCAAGGATCGAGCCTTGGGGTACCCCACATGAAAAAGGATTGTTATTGATAGATATATTAATGATGCCGGGGCGTCACTAAAATGGGGTGGCTGTGTGACCCAACCTGGTTAACTCTTATCATGCCACAGGGCTAATCCACATTGTGCCAAGCCCCAAATCCCTCCGCGCCAAGTTTATTTTGAGATAATCTGATTAACGCGATGGTTCTATGAATAGCGCGTGCAAAATACACAGCACAGTCCAATGAGCATGAACAATAACTGCTATTACGAACGCGTGCAAGCATGCACAAGGCACTGAAGCAATGGCCCTCTCTCGCATGTACAAAGCACTATGACGTTAGCGTGCATGCAGCCTTATGGCAGGCTTTGAGTTAAAGGATGCCTATTTGTAGACAAATTTTGAATTATTGCAATATATCATCGTCTGCAATTAAAACAAAACCGTTTTTTAGCCATGTCAGCAAAGGTTACAATCTGAGGACTTTGATTTTAGGTTTTTTTTCTCTCAAATACTTCAACTTTTGCGCAAATGTTCTCTGCTCCTGCATGCATAATTTTTATAACAAATAATGATAACAATGATAACAATAATAATGATAATAAAATAACGATAATAATAAAAATGGTTATAATGATGATACTAATAATGATAATAATGATAATCACCATCATCATCATCATCATCATCATCAAAGTGCATAACCAGAAACAAAAATTAGGTCTGGCATACGCCCCATGTGACACTTTCTATGCCGAAAATTATCTCTTGCGGGTTATTATTTTCATGAATTATTTTGATGCATGGTATATTTCCTAAGATAATGACACTCAGATAATGACACTCTTGATTAAATTGAGCTGAAATTATTCATTTTCCTTGCAGTATTACACGCCACCCCAAAGGCCGCCATGCGTGCATATTTCAGTCTAATGGCAAACTGCCCTCAAATAATTATATTCAGCACACAAATATAAAAGAACTGCAACTAGCAAAGTGCTCTGAACATATCTGTCACCAAGTAATGCATTAGATGAGAGTGGTTGCTATGTATCGTTGATGCTGACATAGAGTGATGATCAGGGACCCGTTTCACAAAGCCTTTTTTCAATGACAAATGACAAAAATCAGTGACAAATCTGCTGATATTCAATCAGAAGCAAGGATTTCAGTAGCTTATAACGAAACTGTCATTTGTCACTGATGACTAGTTTTGTGAAACGCCGCCCTGATTACTAATTACTTGTAAGTGATCAAATCAGAGGAGTAGCTAGCGATATTCGTTACGTATTTTTATTTATTTAATTTGTTTAAGTATGCAGAAAATGAATTCGTCCTTTTTTTTTTGTTTCTTGAAAATATCAAAGCTTACATCTAAAAATATTCAACAAAAATACCAAAATTAAACCAATTTACCTTTTTAAGTATGCACAAAATGGATTCGTCTTTTTTTTTTAGCTTGGAAATATCAAAGCTTACATCTAAACATATTCAACAAAGTGATTCATTATATAAGAGTGGTTGCAATGTATCGTCAATGCTGACTGATGCCTCGTTTACACTTGCACGCATTTTGGTCCCGCACTGCCCCGCTCTATGGCGTGCCAATGCGTGCCAATCAGTGGCACGCAGTCGCACGCAGGGTCACGTCGAATTTTACGAATAGTTCACGCAATGCGCAACCACCAGGACATGCATTCGTAGACTATGCGCATGGCATGCGAAAACTGCGGGGGAAGTATGCGCAGCCATGCAGTGCGCAAATTGTGAGCAAATTATTTGTTAACTAGTCGTGAACATGAGTGCCACTAGGCCAACGGACACGCATCGGCGCGCATTGGCGCGCACTAGCACGACTAGGTAGCGCAAAGGATGCGCATAGTTCACGAACGTTGCCAAACAAATTGTCGTGCCAAAATTTTGAACATTTTGAAAATTCTGTCACGCATTTCACGCACGGCCCGCATCCTCCCGCAACCTACCACGAATACTTCCCGCATTGGCACGCATTGTGTCTATGCGCAAACTATGCGCAAACCAAAATGTCGTCAAGTGTCAACGGGGCAATAGAATGATGATCTGATCAATAATTACTTGTAAGTGATCAAATCAGAGGAGTAGCTAGCGATATTCGTTACGTATTTTTATTTACAGTTAACAACGAAACTATTCATTCATACCCTTTTTCCTTCTTGGAAATATCAAAGCTTACATCTAAATACATTCAACAAAGTTATTCATTAGATGAGAGTGGTTGCAATGTATCGTCGATGCTGACATAGAGTGATGATCTGATCAATAATTACTTGTAAGTGATTAAATCAGAGGAGTAGCTAGTGATGTTCGTTACGTATTTTTATTTACAGTTAACAACGAAACTGTGGCTGCAGCGACGTCGATAATAAATCAAAAGTCTTAACAAAGACTTCTACGGGAATTCATAGCTTTAATTGGAGTAATCATTTCGTTCCAATTCATTCCGTACCAGTACATTCCGTGAAAACTGTGGATAAATCACAGATAAAGAATCATAAATACAAGTACATCATAGCATCATCAATACAGCAATAAACACAGTCTCTTCGAGAAACTTATAAAATAATGTACTTGTGTCATGATCTTCATAATTCATTAAAATAACCCCAGTTCCTATTCTAGTCTATCTGCATTATGACTTTACATAAGTACAAGCTCACACTACAAGTGTCACAACTAGACAAACTATAGCTTGGTTAAACAATTAACTAGACAATAATCAATTCCAAATCTCTACTTAGTGCTTCAGCACTCTCAAAATATATCTTCAAATTATTAGCAGTATCTTTACTGTCATTAACCTTTATATAAAGTCATATGTACATATATCATAACAGCATGGGCTTGCATGTCTTACACTACATTACATATACATCAACATCTCTCAGTATGAAGTTCAAAATACACACACTAATTTACACTTTATGTTTCGACGATTCATAGAAATACATTAAATATATAACAAAACTAAACTCTTTGCCTGACTTAATGACAACTTTAGGACTGAAATCTCGTTGATGCTCTGGCAAAGAGGGGATTCTTGTACCTCAACACAACCATGTTTGTGTAGCCTTCTGAGTGTTCAATATCAAGTGAATATCAATAGATGGCGGCTATACTAGGCACCTTGCCTGAGGAATTGCTATTACAAATATATAGATATTCATGTCATGCATCAATAGTACAAGAAATAAATGACTTGGGTGATAGTAAGGTGAAAGTAATTAAGTGCAACTGTCACAACAGAACCTATTCATACCCTTATCAAGTTTTGTAATTTGCTCATATATGCACAAAATGGATTCGTCCTTTTTTTTTGTTTCTTGGAAATATCAAAGCTTACATCTAAAAATATTCGACAAAGACCACAATTAAACAAATCTACCTTTCATTCTCGAGTTAATAAAAAAAATCCATGGATACTGTATAGAGAGAGAGAGAGAGAGAAGAATTACTATACATATGAAGGCAACCTCGTAAGCTAGGTTTGGTTTTTCAATTCAAAATTACCATTTTTTCTTTTCTACCTACCTTTTTTTTCTCATAGTAACAAAATACAGTCAAACCTGCTTTAGTGAACACTTGTCTACAATGACCACCTGTCTACAAAGGCCACATTTGTTGTTTCCCTTGCAAATGGTTTATCATTGAATCATGTACTAATGGAGCCTGTCTACAAAGACCACCTGTCTACAAAGGCCACTTTTTGTGTTTCACTTGGGCGGTCACTATAGGCAGGTTTGACTGTACTATTAAAAAGAGCATATACGTAATATCATTAATGAGTCTGAAAAGCGATTAGTAGAACAAGGAAGAAGGCTCAAATCCCGTGTTACAAAATATTGTGTCATATCTGTGTAAAAAGAACATTAGAAAATACGTTGTTGCCCATGAAATTGAAATATTCTTTTCTCTGAACTCATTTCATGAAATGATTTTGACAATATTTGTTTTCCTCTTGAACGATAAAGTTTGTATGTATTCTAAAAACTTTGATGATCAATCTAAAAAGCCAAACCCTATTAAATAAATATAAATAATTGTCAGAAGCCCCCCCCCCCTGTATATCGAGTCCGGAGGCATATCTATTATAGGGTGAAGCTGGCATATGCCCACTTTAATTAAATTAATTGAAACACATCATTTACCCCAGTCCACTGTCTGTACTGTTTCTTTATATTCGTATGTCTTGGAGACATGCGGGCCACCTCACACAATAGGTATGTACAACAGAATTCATTGAAATTGTGATTTACTGCAGTGTTTTCTCACAACAAAAAACGAAGAACAGTATAAGGCGGTCATGTTGGTCGGCCACCATGAAAACATATTATGTGGCTAAGAAATGAATTTTGTGCAGTTTTAGGTTGTATTGTTTTGAAAGGGTCTCTTAAAAAATATAATTTTACACGTTCTTATCTTATAATAATTTAATCAAATTTCTCAATTAGATTATTTGAACTTTCTGACCCTTCCAAGAACTCAACCATCCCTTTAAATAACTTAAGAGAGCAATTTAGGCTAGAGAAGGGCACTTTTGCCCTCTTGATAATGGATATTTCGCCCCTGACAGGATACTTTACCACATTGGGCAATTTCGGCTCTAGAATGACACTCTTGCCCCTTGAAGAACATTGTCTTTTTCCCCTTAAAGCATTTTTTTTGCATTGAACTAAAGCGATATTGGCTCGATAATGGCTCTGGGAATATTTCGAACATGAATGGGCACTTTCCTCTCTATAGAAGAACACTTTAAGCCACTCGAACATGGTAATGTCATCCCTGACGGGCCATTTTAAAAACCGAATGGGGAAATTTTGGTTCTAGAAGGGCACCTATGACTTTCGTTCCCTAGAGGCTTAAAATGCATGTTTCCCCGATGTAACACTCGAGGTAACCAAAATCATTCATAATATTGTCCATGACCATGTTCACACTCATAAGATCTAAAAATGAATTGTACAAAATTAACACAGCGGAAAAACACACACACTAAATAATAGACACTTGACAGTGATGGCAACTAATTTTTAGAAGGGTACTTTGCCCCTCGATAAGGACAATTTTGCCCCCTTGAAGAAATTAGAATTTCACCGCTGACTGGCCACTTTTAGTAACGCAATATTGCAATTTTGGCCCTGGAAGGGCACTTTTGCCCCCCCCCCCCCCCCATAAGTATGAATTTATCTGCTCTAGAAAAGCACTTTCAACCCTGGAGTGTAGAATTGCATGTTGCCAAAACGGAACACTTCCGGTAACCAGATTCATTCATTATTGTTCATGTTTACACTCATAACATGTAATATGAATCGTTAAAAATTTGTCGCAAAAAACAAAGTGACATTATGCCTCTTTCAGCTTCAACCACCACTGGAAGAAGGGGGGGGGGTCGTATTTCCTTGTGCCCCAACTTAAAAGCCAGGCCCCCAATGTCGCTTTGCTCCCTCGCCGGGTCACTGAAAAGTATGCCATCAAATTTCAAACACCCCCTTTTTAAAAAATTCTGCGTATGCCACTGACCACATCTAAGATTTTAGTAACTTATCACTCGATTCATTTTGCAAGCCTTACCAAAACTTGAATCAGAGCAAATATCAAGTAAGGTTCAAGATAAAAGAATCAAGTTTATGTCCCTACTAAAACATGTAGAACAACAGATGTTCATAATATAACAATCGAAGAGATGCACCTTTTGATCTTTCCCCAAAAAACATTCAACTTTAAATCTACATGCTATGGATGTAGACAAAATCATATTCAAGGTATTTAAATTTCAGCTACCGGTAGAGAGGCCGCACTTAAGAAATGAAAAATGAATACTTGCAGTTAGACACGCGCAGTGCTCTTTGACGAGTAAATTTCCTTCGACTCTTTGAATACTTTAACAGGCATATTTTTTTTTAATTTCTTTTCTGGTTTATAAAACAAACAAGCTTGTTAACTGTTTATATTTCCGGCCACGGTTAACAACTGTAGCTCCTCGGGAATCTCGAGACTGCTCAATGCCAGTTTCGTGATCCCCTTGTGCAATAGATTTAACCGTGCTCCTCAAAGCAGTCTATATTATTTTGTATAATAGCGCCGGTATATCCGCCAGCTCAAGAGTTCATGGCGCTATAGCTCGCTTCAAAATCTTACATCAGTTGAACTTCATACTTAGCCTACTTGGTTGCCCAAGGTATTTGCAATTGAAAATAATATTAAATAGTTCCAATTTAGCATTGAAAATGCATTCTACATAGTCTAAAAGTTCAGACACTCTCTTTACGTACTACGACGGACAAGTGGTTGTGCCTGAAATGACGAGTATCATGGACCACGTTGCTTCCTAGCACAAGGCCAACGATCAAGGAGCAGATAACGTCGAAAATTCCGACGAAAGTGTTTGTTGGTGGCGGCGTAGATGAAGGGATTTATCATAGAGTTACCCAACACGAGCGAATGTGTCACGCGCCAGGTGAGAGAGGAAACGCAGTCCTTGCCACATATTGCAAACATGACACTAGTCACTTGTACAGGCAGCAAGCAGACCAGGAAACATCCCACAAGGATGCCAATGACCACAGCGGCTTTCCGATGTCTGGCAAATGTACGTTCCTTTGAGCCCGACCCGTTGGCTTGTGGAGCATTTTTGGACACGTTTTCGTTCGGCAGGGCCTCGGTAGGCTCAGTGTAAGCATTTGCAGAAGTGTTAGATGAATCGGCCAGAGTACCTTGGTCCTTAAAACATGGCCCTGCTGAGGGTTTGCACATGTCTTGGCGTAGGGATTCCCCGTCGTTAGCTTGCGTCGTGGCTCGAGTAGGTAATCCGTCCGCAGGACTCTGCCCTACGATACCCTTGGATCTCCGTTTAATGTTGGTATAGACAGCAACATTCAAGACGACGATGATTGTGAGAGGAATGAAGAAATCTATCACGTTCAAGATCAGTATCATAGCAAGACTGGACCTAAATTCGCTTCCACAATCCTTCTCATAATCCAACTTGTACTGTCCGGTTATAGGACTCCACGCAAACGTCATTAGTGTGTACCAAACAAATACCACTGCCCAAGTAATGCAGATGATTAGCCCGATTCGCTTCTTCGTCTGAAACGTCTGATACTGCATTCCCATGGTCACGAGACAGTACCGGTCCCAGCTGATCAAGACCATGGTTAGAACAGACATCATTGTCACCGTGCGGGAAACGACCAACGATATCTTACAAAAGACCTCACCGAACGGCCAGTAGTCTTTGATGAGCCATGTGAGGTTGAAGGGCCACAAGAGGGCGCCCACCGTCAGGTCCGTGATTGCAAGGTTCAGGATAAGAAGGTTGGCCACCCTGGCCCGGATGTTCTGATCTCGAAAGTACGCAACAATCACCATAATGTTGCCGACGACAGTCACAACGCATATTACAGAGACAATCAGTGGCACTATAGCGAACCAGGCCGTTGAGTTAGGGTATTCGTAATTGTCACCGTAAGAAAAAGTGATACTTGCGTTTAATTCCATTGTTAATTATTACGATCGAATGGCATATAATCTGATGATTAAGCTCCTTCAGTACGTCATGCTTTTATAATCATAAGTTCATCAGCCATTTTTCCACCCTAAATGAAGAAACGCAGAGAGAGGAAGCATTCACAAAAGGTTTCGCCATAAGAAATGATTGCGATTAATTCACGTGTTGAAACACAATCGAATGATGAACGTCTTTCAGGACATTCTTCTGTTGCACAGTTATAGAATCTTTTTCTCATTCTGAATAAATATGAGCCAGTTTTCCACCTACATAAAGAAACGCACTTCCAGAACCTGGAGATGGACTTCACAAACGTTTAATTCGCTTAAAGAAAATATAATTGCGTTTTCCTTTGCTGAATAAAACGCTACCGAAAGATTTTTTCGACGATAAAGAATTTCGGGACGTTATGCTTTCATAAAAATTATCTTTAGATGGTTGTAGACCTATCATCCAGTTTCTTTAGCCTACTTGAACCGCAGAACGAGAATGCTTCCACAAAATATGCTTCGCCTGAGTACCGGTTGGAGGAAAAATACTTTCATTCCATTGATGAAATACGACCGAATAATAGATATCTTGATGATAAACTTTCTTTCATAACATTATGCTTGCATAGTCATATTTATGTTTTAAATTTATCAGCCAGCTTTCCACCTATATAAGGATCAAAATGGCTTCAAAGCACAAATGCCTCGCCTGAGGAAATGATACTTGCTTGGCGTTTTCCATTGATGCAATACGCATGGTAATTATGACGATACCATAAAGTTCCTTTAAGACATCTTTATCCTTGAATGATTCGTATTCAATTAAAACGTATATACTCCTTCCTGACAAAACACAAATCAAGAAAGATTTTTACAACAAAATATTGGCGAATGATGCCTCAACAGTTGCAAGATGTGTTCTTGTCAGCGACCTGCGGACGATATGAGCGCTAAATTGATTGAACTCTGAAAGCGCTTTACATTTTTTGCCTTGCACATTGAATGAGCAGTTCAGTACCTAATGTGAAGGTGTGGTCACAACTTAGAGCGGCGACCGACCGATTTGTAGCCTGCTCAGTCGCCGCTGGAATTTAGGCATCGCCCAACGATTTAGGAGAAGTCGAGCAGGCTGTAGAGCCCCAGCGATGCCTTGGCGGTGCCATGTCGATTTTACGTCAAAACTGGGTGAAATCGGGGAGCTTCTCCACGCGGCCGCGTCCCGGCAGTGACTAGCCTTTTGACAAGACCTCGTGACTCTGGCTAAGCGGCTGAGATGAGTCTAGAAACCCGGGGTCAACGCGCGACCGAGTGACGAATGTCACGAGGCCTTTTGCAATGTAGGTTTCACTGCTCCGCATGAATTATTCATAGTTACATATTAGCATGCCAATACACCTACTTTGGATTTATTGACCAATCAGAACGGCGATCTCCCAGTTGGCTTCGTTCTTGATTCGTTCCATGTAGAGGTCAGTGGTCTTAGCACGTACAATAGTTCCGAATAGGTCCATGTTCGTACTACGTAGAGTTTACTGTGTGTGTGTGTGTGTGTGTAATGGCTACTATATGCTGATGTCGTGCGAGGATACGTTCGCTGATTGGACGCTCCCATTTCGGAAGCGAATTCCAGTCGGAAACAAAGGTTAACATAAGAAATCCAAACCAGATTGATAAAGGCTACTTGTCTGGGCAATTCGCACTGGCGTTCACTCAGGTTTTCGCGAAAAACAAGCGGTGCCCGGGCGAAATTGGCGAGAAACTCGCCGCCAAACCGCCGAGCAGGCTACTTTTTGGGGTTGTGACCATAGCTTTACATGCTTTATTTTACATTTATATGTATCAACCGGTTGAAAGGACGTCATCTCACTGATCTGTAAGAACACTTTCACATGCTTGTCAATAGAGGGCGACTCGATCTCTCTCCCAACGTGCATAGTTGAGCTCAAGCTGTGGAGCTGTATACGAAACTGCTCCGCGGTCGCTTTCATACATAGAATTCCGAACTTCAACATGGGATGATAATCCAATACGTTTAATGGTGCCATAGATCATCGATGAGTTGATTTTAGTACATATGGCTCCGGTTGTCTCATTTTCGTTCGCTGGATCACTGCAGCACAAACATAGCTCGTTCGACGTCACTACCAAACTAGCCAATCAGCTGTCAATGACCTCATATTGAATGCGACGGCAAATATATTTTGTGAAATTATCGAGAATTGGACTATTTTTAATTGCAAACTAGTTTTAATTTTGGATGAAAATGCAGCCATTGTTATCTTGACATTCATTAAAGTCATCAGAATAGGGTAAGTTACTTCTCAGGTGATTCAAGAGGTCTATTTTGTAGATAAATTTTCAATTTCTTAGAATGTTCCACTGTGTTGCAGGGTACCGGCTGTTTGTCATTGGGTGTGATGTGTACGCGCGCAATGGCGCGAATTATACTGACAAAGCTAGAATGACTACCACGCCCATTTCCCTCTCTTATTATGCCTTTCTGAACATTCCTTTCCTTCTCAATACAATAAATTTCACCTGCCTAAGTTATTCAAAACATACCGCCTCGCCACTTCCATTACGTAATCATTAAAAGGATCCGCATATACAACATTTTCCTGCTATACGTTGTACCGCAGGAAAATACAAATCTCCCTGGTATACCTTACAGTCCAAACGATAAATATGTGCCTTAAATGAAGCAGGCGACAATCGGCGTAGCAGACGACACTTGATAGTAATTTTGTATGTGAGATTGCTTTGCTAAATACAAATTACTTTGTTAATAAATATCAAATCTTTAAACCATCATTGATATTTAATAATCCATGAGTGAGTAAAAGAAACATACCAAACTATATAATGATATGAAATACTTAGTGGCAATTAGGGGAGTTTGACGTGATGACCGATTGCAGCCCTCTGTAAATAACCGAATAGTCCATGGTGTGTCATGAATATTCATGTTTTGCTTACCACGGGAAACTGTTTGCTTTTACTAAATGGAAAAACTACAGTGGGGGGTTGGATGAAATCGACATAATGAACCAAGCAAAAGTGATCTATGATAATTCATGCTTCTTATCCTTCGTGTGCTTGGCCTATAATCTTACAATCGCTTGGCAAACTGAGTCCAAATTTCAACTTGTTTCACATGTGTATTATAGGCAATGGCGAGCTTGCAACCTATTTTGAAAAATTACGGTGGTTGAACTGTCAAAAGTCAATGAGACATGAGGGCTCCAATGAAAGAGCTAGTGATAACGTACGTCGGGGTGGATGTGCTTTTCGTTTAAACAAAAAATGAATTTTTAACGATTTTTTTTTAAATTTTAAACGTCCATAGGCTAACATGTTAGACTGCTGACTCTGACGGTAGGGGGCGTTGTGAAATGAGACTAAACGGAGCAATATGCATATGAAATGAATCATGTACGGCTCTAGTCTTCTAACCTATCGTTTCTTTCTCTCCCGCCCACGTGCTATGCCCGCTCTCTTTCTCACTTGGATTTATTTTAATCACAATTTCTTTTCCACGTTATTTCTCCATTTCATGTTCAACTAGGTAATTGCTAAAGTAACTAACACCTTGCGGAACACATCAGGTCACTTCACTTCTTTTTAACGTCGAATTCTACGAACGGGAGTAAACCGTACTCGCAAACTATTACAAGTTCGTTACGTTGGTAAAGAGTGTTGAAGAAAGGATTCTACCAGCTTCCCTTAAAGATCACGAATTTGTAGTAGCGTTTACACTAAACAGACATAACTTTTATCATCTTCTTTCTCTTTCCGTTTTGTTTAGTTTCCTTCTGACCGTTTCCCCCAAATTAAACATTGACCATACATCTCTAGACAGGTTGTGGGTTTCGTTCAGTCTATTGGCTGTGCGACTGTCACCCAACAAATACGTACCTTCCCCTTCTAATAAAAAGTAATATATTTCAAATTTATTTTTCAAGTTTATTCATCTATTTTGCACACATCTCAAACAAATCTTAACAAAATAAGTGCAAAACATCATACAATTGAAAACATAACTATAAATGTTACATATTATAATATCTTAATAACTATTACACATATCTTAAAGGCACACTGTCCTACCTGTAGCTACTTGCTCCCTCTATATAGAAAACTCCCCCAATCGGTACCTGTTGGTCCCACATGATCCTCTTTTTCTTATGTTAAATGAGAGCTGAGTTAATGAGATAGCCACCTGTCACAGTGACCTCGCTGGCTCGCTGGGTGGTCTAATCCCTTCTAGCTGAAGTAGTAAAGCCTGCTTTTAATAACTATTGCACAATATCCCCTGTGTCATCAAATAATTATAAATTAAAAAAACCTTCTTTGTTTCAAGCTAAAGAGGAAGTGTAGGGGGACCCATAAGAGAAGCGAAGCTTGTAATACTATAGGTCCCCTCAAATAAATGATTGAGGAAGGGAGCGAAATGAGGATAATTTGCAGTTAGAAAAACGAGTGGTCCAACTAAGATTATAGTTGGAAAAAAAGATAGATAGGGAAAAAGAAATTAGAGAAGATACTTATAAGAGAGAAGGAAAGTAAAGAAGAAAAAGAGAAAGAATCACAAACTCTTACATGAATGAAAATCATTTCGCGTTATACAAGCTACATCATATTATGCGAATATCACAACAAATACTCAAAGCAATATACAAATAGCACTTCCAACATTAACTCATTTGATATTGTTTTGAAAGAATGTTTTCGAGTGAAATCTAAATGAATATAATGTAGAACATTTTTCAGAGTAGGTTCAAGTGAATTCCAAAATTTGGGTCCATTGTACATAAAGGTATGAATTGCTGATACTGTTCTTACACGCGGCAAATTATAGAGGTTTGACTGTCTTGTAGGATATGTATGATATTGTTCATTTTATATATATATATATATATATATATATATCTGTAAAGCGCTTTGAGAGGGCCTTCGGTCCTGAAAAGCGCTATATAAGAACTAGCTATTATTATTATTAT